ATCTCATTTTTATTTCTTATTTTCTGTTTTGTCAAGACAGGGTTTCTCTGTAGTCCTGGCTGTCCTAGAACCCCCTCTCTAGCCCAGGCAGGTCTCCAGCTCAGAGATCCTCCTGCCTCTGCCTCCCAAGTGTTTGGATTAAGGGCGAGCACCACCACGGCTTATTTTGAAAGAGTGACTTATTTATTTAACATATGTCTATGTGTGCCATGTGCATGCAAGTACTTGAGGCCAGGCGAGCATCGGATCCTCTGAGACTGGAGTTACAGGCCGTTGAGAACTGCCATGCGGGTGCTGAGAGCCAAACTCAGTATCCCAGTAGTCAGGCTCCTGCGCACTGAGCCTCTCTCCAGCCTCTACCTTGCTTTTTGAGATGGGCTCACACTGAGCCTGGAGCTCACTGTTTTGGGTAGATGAGTGACTTGGCCTTGCAAGTCGCCTTCCTGAAATAGGCCTGGCTCTGCTTCCTGGCGCTGGGGTTACAGGTGTGGACGGCTACCCTAGGATTTTACGTGGGTGCTGGGGATGTGTACTTGGTCCTCACACTGGTGCAGACACTAGGCCGTCTGCCTCGGCTTGTTTGCCCAGGTTTTATTTAGCTTATTTGAACTGAGTTACTGGAGTGAAGGGGGTCTTAGAGGTACAGGCTGCATGCAGAACCGGGGTGCCAGTGAGGGAGGTACCCAGAAGCAGGACCGAGGGTGGGTGGAGGGAGCAGAGGGAAAGAAGAGACGAGGCAGTGGTTTGGTTGGGGGCTTTGAGGAAGGGGGGAATGATGGTGGGGTTGGTATCCTTGCTGGTGACCCAGGGATTTGGGGTGGGGGTGTTTGAGACTCACAAGTAGATGGGGCACTTGGTGACAGAAAAGTCAGAGCGTGTTTGCTAATTAACTCGGTGGGAGGAGAGGAGCAGGGCTCCCCTTTCAGGCTGGAAGAGGGAGCCAGTGAGTGTGAGGGGATGAGGGGCGGGAGGGTGTGGCCTCTGCACCCAGCCCAGCAGGCAGCAGGTGAGACTGGCAGCAGAAGAAAGCAAGGGGATAATTGGTGGGCAGGCATCCAGAGGGGTGGGCGGGACCTAATAACAACAATAATAACAATAATTTGTCGGGGCTTAATAGCTCTGTCAGATCCATGTGCTAATTGGATTGCTTAAGGGCCCTGCAGGGAGGGGCGGGGGCTGAGGGGGTGCTCTTTCTTCTCCTTCTGCAAGGTGGAGGTCAGAGCCCGGTGAGCACCTGTCAGAGGCTGGAGGCGCTGGCTGGGGGGAGAGGGCGGGGAAGGCAGGGGGGGGCGGGCAGTAGCTACCTTCATGAATGGTGAATGGATGGGAGAGGAAGAGGACTGGACACCCTTCCTAAACCCTTTGCAGAACCCCTGATTCATCGCTCTAAACTCGGTGCCACTGGGGGCTTCACACAGGTCCGTGGCACACCTGTCCTGCAAGGATACAGCTGAGTCCTAAGAGCTTTTACGTGCTCAGGGTCAGTGTGTAGCTGTGGTCACATTTGGGTTGAGCTTCCAGGCTGGGATTTGCCAGGTGCAGAGAGGTGTGTGTGCCGGTCTGGCACCAGGCCTGCTTTCAGTGTGTTTGCTTGGGTCTGTCCAGGCGTGGTGTTCTGCTCTAGACAGTCACCCAGACAGGCCTGCAGCTCTGCTACCTAGGGGAGTCAGGACATAAGAGGGGCGGGCACCTTGGAGGCTTGCTGAAGATCTGTGTCTACCGCACAGAGAAAGGCTGGCTTCTGTATTGTGTGGCCTGCTGCACCTCGCTGCCTCCCCAGCTAGCCAGAAGGGGCCTGGGGCAAAACTAAAACAGAATGCCTTTGCCTTCCTTCTGAAGTCTGACTCTTTCAGGGCGTTTTGTGTGGGTGTGGAGGCCGTGCATTGATTGATACATAGTCTTTCCCAGTCGTTTTCTTAGTTTTTAAAACTCTTTGACTGAACCTGGAGCTCCCCCTTTTGCAGACTGCTGTCCAGCCAGCCTCGGGAGTCCTTGTGTGTCCCCTTCTCCAGCGCTGGGGGCACAGGTGCGCTGCCATGTCCAGCTTTTCCATGGGGCCTGGGGATTGAACTCCAGTCTTTACGCTTGTGTGGCAGGCCTCTACAGACTGAGCTGTCTATCTCCTCCATCCTTCCAGGGCAGTTTGTGTTATTTCACCCATGGGAAAGGAGCCAGCCCATCCTGTACCGTAGGCCACCAGCGCTGTGGGCTTGTGTGCTCCCTCGGTTCAGGGGACCTCACTCACACAACTTGGCTTCACAGACAAAACTCAACCCAGCAGCTAGGAGCATATAAAATGTGACCATTTGAGGGGACACCACGGTGTCAGTGTCAGTAGGAGGAACTGGGCTGTTCTAGGGAAGCTTTTCCAGCCAGCCCAGGTTAGATGCTGCATCCTTGCCTCTCTCCCTGCCTGCTTTCTTTTGGGTTTTAGTCCCCTTGAGGGTTGCCTCCCTGCCTTTTCAGAATAGTAAGGCTTCCTGGTTTTCAGGAAGGAGAGGCTCCTCCTCTGACCACTGAAGGCATTTTGCAGGGGTGAGGTGAGTATAAAGTGAGCACACTTGCCCTGCCTCCCCTCCTTCCTGCAGGAAGTTGGCTGGAGCTGGGAATTCCCTGGTGCGTGCTTGACCTCCCAGGGTCTTAGAACTCACTCTGTAGACTATGCTGACCTCAAATTCAAGATATCAGCCTGCCTTTGCCTCCTGAGTGCTGGCATTAAAGGCGTGCGCCCCCTCCCAGCCCTAGTCGACTTCTTGTCTGTGGACTTGTCTAGAGACCCATAGAATCCTAGGCCATGTGGCCCTCAACTTAGTGACCTTGGTAGTTGATAAACATAGAATCTTAGGTCATGTGGCTGTGGACTTAGTGACCTTAGCAGTTCATGAAGGCAGAATCTTACACCCTGTGGTCCTGGGGCTCATTAGACCCTGAGTTTGGTGGGCTTGGGCAGTTGACACACAAACCTATTCCTGCGTCCCTGGGCTTTGATCTTGGACATTTCCTGGGCGTGGCTCTTTCACCTCGTGGCTTTGGGTGTAGTGACCTTTGGCATTTATGCAACCATGTGTCCCTGGGCTTAATGAGCCCATGACCTTGGGAAGCCCATGAACATGGGATAATGGGCTTAGGTGTGCGTGTTTGTTTCCCTAGCATTTGCCTTCTGCTTTACAGCCCTGACACACAGCACTGGATGCCTGTTCACTTGTGCTGTTGCTCAGGTGTGTGTTCTCTTCTCTTGGGTGTGTGCCAAGAATGCAACTACAGGGTTACTGGGTAACTTCTTGCCATTTGAGAAATGGGTTGCTTTCCAAGTGGACAGGTCCACCTGACACTTCCCAGTGTATTGCAAGTTCTTTTGGAGTTGTTTGCTTGCTCACTGTGAGACGAGATCTCCTTTAACCTAGGATGGCCTTGGATACATTATGTAGCTAAGGCTGGCCTGGAACCTGTGATCCTCCTGCCTCCACCCCTCAGGTACCGCTGTCAACACGTGCACCCCCTCACCTAGCTTCCTTTTTGGTGTTCATGGTGTGCCACCTTGAGCCTGGCAGTGTTGGGTCTTGTGTAGGGGAGACAGAGCTCCATCCCTCTTAGAGTTTCCCATTATGTCCGTAAAGCAGATTAACCAGAAGAAAGTTGAGGTTCTTCCTTGTGTGTGGGCATCGTGTAGAATCAAGGCCCTGTGGGCTTCTGTGCGGGTGACTGGAGTTAATGCTTGCAGAGCGTGCATGGGGAGGCTTGTTTGTGCAGAAGGCCTTGGCCTTGCCTCCTGTCCTTGATAAGGTCGTTCACTCCCTGGAACAGGGAGGGCGTGTCTCAAGAGGAAGCTGTGCTCTGGCTTTGGAAGAAAAGGAGAGTCACTGCTGTCCCCACAAACCTTGGGCTGAAATCATCCCGTGCCTGGCGGTGTGCTCGGTGGTTTCTGCCCTCACACCTGCCTGTTCTGCTGTAGAGTCCTGGAGGTTTTGGGATGAGGAAAAGGAGAGAACCGAGTGGATTTGGACTCACTTGTGTGAGCAGGAGGACCTATTGGTGTCACAGCCCTGTGTGACCACACTCAGTGAGTGCTCGCGTGGAGCAGGTGCCTATGGTTTGCTGGCATTCTGTCCCATCTGTAGGCTCATGGGTCCTCCCAGGTTTCCCAGTTTAAGCCCTGCTGTCCTTTCGAGAAGCATCTTCAGAGTTTCTGGTTTTCCTGTCCCAGTGGCTTCTGGAGAGGTCACCACCTGGGGTTCCTGTAGCATCTGTACCCAGCTCTTGGGCCACAACATGGCCACCTTGTGCTGTTGAGACCTGGCTCCCGCAGCCGGGGCCCACTTGGGTCGGTCTCCCTCCTGAGCCGGGATCAAGTGCTGGAATTCACTGAGTTTTGTCTTTGAAGCCTTTCCTTGGCTCAGTTTCATTCACCTCTGTATCTGTGCCGTTGTTCTCTGGGGCACTAGGGCTGCCTGTCGCTGCTGCGGGTGCTGGGGTTCCCCTGGGTAGCGCTGGTTTAGGAGTGGAGGCAGGGGACAGACTGACTTGGCATAACATGAAGGAGCACTAGGGTTGAGCAGGAGAAAGCCCAGGTGGGCAGAGGGTGGATAGACAGGTCTTCCGAGGAGGTGACTGTCCCTTCAGACTGGGAGGCC